AATCTCTCCATCTTCATCCTGCTTTTCAAGGCTGGGATTGGGCCTCACGATAGTTAATCCTGTGTGCCACAGAATGCCCAGATATTTGGTTAAACATTATTCTGCATGTGTCTGTGAGAATGTTTCTGGATCAGACTGATTAAAGTAGACTGTCTTCCCCAATGGGGGCCTGGGGGGGCTCCTAAAATTCACTTAAGGCCTGACTAGAACAAACAGGCCGAATAAGAGAAATTTCAGTCTCTCTGCTTTTCTTCAAGCTAGGACAGTTGTCTTCTCCTGCCTTCAGACTTGGACTCAGATTTGGAACTTAGACCATCAGCTCTCCTGGATCTCAGGCCTTCCAGCCCCAGCCGACGCCAGCACGGCTCTCCTGGGTCTCCAGCTTGCCCACTGCAGATCCTGGACCTTCTCAGCCCCCATAACCACACCACCCAATTCCTTATATCTCTACTTGCATGTAAATTTTATTAAGTTATGTTTCCCTGGAAAACCCAGACTAATGCAGACCATATAAACATTCCCCTTTGCCAGCTCGCTTGGTGTTAGGCTTTGTCGACACCAGGCAGCCCCGGCCGCAGCACGACCATGGTAGGAAGCAGCAGCTCCTCCTTGGCTCTGGGGTGCTGTGTTTTTACCGCCAGCAGCCCCGCTGGCAGACAGGCACCTGGGGCCCCGGCGCACTCCCCTCAGCTACCTTCACAGACAAGCTAGCGGCTCCTGTTCTCGGGGAAGTTTCTCCACTATCTGAGGAGCCACAGCTCTGGGCCACCCTGGCTCACTCACACCTTTCCGTGAGTTTTTCTGCTACCCAGCAGCTGCTCCTATGCACCAGCTCCAATCCATGCCCTCTGGCGTGTTTCTTCACCCGGGCAGGCTTCATGTTCCTCTGGCAGCCATGCCCTTTCCAGAAGGAAGAGAATCTTCATCTTGAGCCACAGAAGAGTTCAAGGCTTAGTTCCTTGCTTGTTGGCTCGTCTCCACCCTAGAAGTAGTAGCTGATTTCTGCACCTGCTTTGTCTATATCCCTTTGAACCTTCTTTTACCCTTTTAGAAGTTATCCATTTTTTACTAGTTAAAATTATTTTCATTTAATATTCCTTATTCAAATTCTTAGCGTGATTTCTGTTTTCTGAGTGGATCAGAACTAATGAAGTAATACAGTTTTGGTATTTTTCATTCTATTCTTTTTTATTAATACTTAGGGTGAGCCACTAAATGGAATTTGTAACCACATAATGATTTGATGAAGATAGCTTAAAAAACACTTCTTTAAGGTATAAATTTAGGAGCTAAACAGCTAGATCACAGCATGTGTAACATCTAATTTCACAAGATATCAGCACTGCATAAGCATTCTCACTGGAACAAATCTGTGCCAACATGTGGATATGTCAGTCATTTTAGTCTTCTCAAACTGATATGTGTGGACTTGTTCTTCATTCTGGTTTTAACTTGTTCCTTGACTGCTGACAAGATTGAGCATTTCTGTGAAGTCCTTGATCGTTTTTCTATTCAACTGCTATGTATTTTTATTGGACTATAAGAGTTTTTTTATATCATGGTTATCTTTGTCAGTTATATCACTGCAAAATTTTTTCCAGTCTGTGATTTGATTTTTGTCCTTTTAAACATGAATCCATTTCACCGATGCATAATTTACATACAGTGAAATGCACAGATCATGAATGTACAGTTCTGTGAGCTTTGACAAATGTAACACCCATGTAACCAGTATTTCATCAAGTCCCAGAACTTTTCAGTCACCCTGAAAGTCCCCTCATGCCTCCTTTCAGCCCTCTCCCAGAGACAACCACTATTCTGATTTCTTTCACCACAGATCATAGTCTTGCTTGTTCTTGAATTTCATATAAGGGAACCCTACAGAATATAATCTTTTACATTTGCTCAACAGACTTTTTATATTCATCCATGTTGTTGCATTTTGACACTCTTATCATTTTTAAAAAGTTATGTTTTAAGTAAATGTTTGGTAATGTAACATCTATAAGTGTGCAAATCACTAGTCTAGGGCTAAATAAATTTGCAAAAACTATACACCTGTATACTCACCACTCAGATAAATAATATAATAGCAGCATCCCAAAAGCCACTGTCTCTTCCAGCCACTAATGCACACACACCCTTAAACTGAATGTGAAACAGAAAAGAAAATGGATGAATTGTTACTACATACAACATCAGATACACTAAGCTTAGCAAAAGCCAGATATAAGAGTGGTTATCTATCACCAGCTATTAGCTTCACCTGGTTCTGTACTTCACATACATGGGGCCATAACAGCACGACACCCTACACCTGGATGCTTCTGTCAATATCTGTGATATTCATCTGCACTGTCGTGTGTGGTAACAACTCACTCACTTTCTTCTCTGTATCACAGTCAATGGTATGAATACACCACAATTCATTTTCCCATTCTACTGCTGGTGAACATTTTCTTTTCAGTTTGCAGCAATTATGAATAAATGTGCTACTAATATTTTATACATGTACACTGCTGCTGAATTTACATGTATGGTAAGAACTGCGGGATCATAAGGTCGACTTTGGTAAACAGTGCCCAAGTGGTCATTCCACTTGCTCTCCCACAGCGAGGTATGAAAGCAGCAGCTGTTCCACACCCTTAACAGCTCTTGGTATTATTCGTGTTTTGAATTTTAGTCAGTCCAGTGGCTGTGTGGTACACTCTCATTATGGTTTTATTTTGTGTTTCCTTGATGCCTGAGAATAAGCACCTTCCCAAATTTTTATAAACCATTACAGTATGTTTTGTGAGGAGCCTATTCAAGCCTTCTGCCCATTTTTCTGTCGGAATGTCTAATTTTTTATCTGTACTAGTTCTTTATATACTCTGAAAATAAGTCCTTTGTCAAATATGTCACTCTGTGACTTGCCTTTTCCTCCTATCTTTAATGATATCCTTTGAATAAATCTTCATTTTAAAAAAGTATAATTTATTAATCTTTTCCTTTATGATTAATACTTTTTGGATCCTTATAAAAGATCTTTGTCTACCCCAAGGTCAGGAATATTCTCCTATGCTTCCTTCAAGGTGCAGTATTGTTTTATATTTCACATTTAGATGTACCATCAATCTGGAATTGAGTTTGAGGTATATGCTATGAGGCAAGGATCAAGATTTACTTTGTTCATTACTGGCCCAATACCTATATTGAATAGGCATCATTTGTAAATGGACATCAATAGTAAAGGACATCATTTCCCCACTGCACTGCAATGACCACCTTTTTCATATGTTGCTGGACAATATACATGATGGTCTGTTTCTGGACCCTCTATTCTGTTTCATTATTTTGTCTCTGCCCCAAAACCACATGTCTTAATTTATAATAAATCTTTATATCTGGCCCGATAAGTCCTCCAATTTGACTATCTTCATGATTGTCTTGGCACTTGGTAAACTTTTGCAGTTTCATATAAATGGTAGAATCAGCTGTTCAATCTCCACACAACACCCCTAAAAAAAAACTGATGGATTTTTATTGGAATTGCATTAAACCTTATCAACTGTGAAGAACTGATAGCTTTATGACAGTGAGTCTTCCAATCCATAAACATGGTAAATCTTACATTTATTTAGATTTTAATTTCTATCAATAATGTTTTTGTAGTTTTTAATGTAGCTTTTTATATTTTTCATCAGCTTTATTTCTAGGTATTTGGTATTTGTGCTACTATATAAATAACATTTTTTCTTCAGTTTCTAATTCTTTGTTACAAACACATTGAAAAATAATGTATATTTAAAATACTGACATTACAGCCATCAAACTTGCTATATTAAATTCCCTTTATTCTCATGATCTTTTCTACAAATTCTATTAGATGTTCTACATACACAATTGTATCATCTACAAATGATAGTTTCAATGTTATGTTTCCATTCCTCATGTATTTTATTTTTCTTACCTTATCATACTAGCTAGTACCACCAGCACAATGCTCGATACACAGGGTGCCAGCAGGCATCCTTGTCTTGTTTTTTTATCTCAGTGGGAAATCTTTCAATATTTTACAACTGAATATGATGTTTGCTGTAGGCTTTTTAATAAATATTGTTTAGCAGATTAACAAAATTCCCTTCCATTCTTACTTTGTTAAGCCTTTATCATGATGGGATGTTGTTTATATTTCTGTTTTAAGAAAATTTTTAATGACTGCTGCACTGGGCTCCCTTTCCAGATAAGTACATGGTTCCTGGGCCACGGTAGGTAGCACTGATGCCTACATCCACCTTTACTGCAGTCAACTGGGTCCAAGCTCCACTTCCACGCACACTGTCTCCAGGCCCACATAGCAACGTTTCTGCTCTGTCATTCACATTGGCATGGTTTGCAGTCATGCTGAACTGCTGGCCTAGGCTGCCTACGCTGTTTTCCCATGGTATCAGTTTTGCTTTAGCAATGCCCTGATTTTGCATGATTTCTCCCTAACTTTATTTTTCCATATATCTTGTTGATTTGAGTGTATGATTTTGAAGACTATGTTATTTTTCAATAGTACATAAACATTAAAGCAGAAATACTCATATATGTCACAGAAAAGGACAGCAGTCAAGCAAACTCCATTTGAGCATTTTAATGATGTTTTAATTATGACTGATCATGTCCAGCCAATCAGACAGAAACATACAAATGAACTGATTACAATTCTATTCAAATGCAGCTAAGAATGATTGGAAGATTATCTATTTGACTTCAGGAAATCAAAAGTAATCATTTAACGCAGTATGTAAAAATCACGTTCGGACTGCCAACAATGGGTTATTTAATCGTTGCTATTAGATTAGAGCCAACGGCTCCTACCTTCATGATGGAACACAGATCAGGAAGGGTTTTACAGAAGCATCATAATATGGCTAATTATGGCTTCAAAATGATTGCTTATAATGAAGACAAAATAAATGTATATAATACTGCCAAAATGATCACTATTTGTGTGCTTTACAGGTGTATACTTACCTTCACATTTTTCAAGAATCTGAACTGTTTCTCCTATTTCTAAGACCAACCCTTGAGGGACAGGTCCTCGAAAGCTGCATATCACTGGAAAGACAAGGATAAACACATCAATTAGCATTTTTAAATACTGAGACAAGGTCAATGGTACCAAAATTAAGCGCTAAATTTTCTTAACTATATATTCTTCCTTCTTCACTAATTCATCTTTCAAATACATAAGACCCTTCAACTTAGTTAACCTATACATTGAAAAGTAATATTAGATAGTTCAGGACAGTAGAGTGTATTTGGGCAAAGTGACTCTTCCAGCAGTGGTGTGCACCTGCAAGCATGTGTGTGAGAACAACTGTGTAAACAAAGTATCTCTCCCTCAGCATGACCTGTGTTCAAGTATCCTTTTGGGGCAAGTATGTATCAGTTACTTAAGAAAAAAATTAAAATTGAAAGTGTCTTATCTACTATAAACAGACAAATAGATATTTTTATGAAGAATCACGAAATAAATATGATTATGGCTTTGAGAAACAAAATCCCCATAATAAAAATGAAAACAGAAATTAATGAAATAAAAAGCAAATGTACAACAGAGAAAATTTATAGATACCAAAACCTCATCTTTTTTTTTAGAAAACTGATAAATTGATTCCAAAATATATAAGAAAACAAAGCACCAAGAGCAGTCCTGTCAATCATGAAGGACTTACACTATTACATATCAAGGCTTATAATCTAAAATTTGTTCTTGGAAACACTAACACTGATAGACACCTAGGCAAGACTGATCAGAGAAAAAGAGTAAAGGTACAAATTAGCAATACCAGCAATCAAAACATTTATGGTTAAAAACATTTAGGTAATTAATAATTAAGTGATGTATAAAAGGATACTACAAAAAGTTTTATATCAACAGACTTGAAAATTTAGGATGGATGGGCAAATTTATAGAAAAATAAAACTGACAGAAACTTGAACAATCCTATATCTATTAAGGAAAAGTGAATCTATAATTAAAACCTTCCCACAAATGAGATCCCAGGTCCTGGTTACTCTACCAGTGAATTTGTCCAAATGTCTGAGGTAGAAACACCAACCTTAGTAAACTTGTTTAAGAGAATAAGCACAGGGGATTCATTCTGAACTCAGAATGACAATAAAACCTGATAAGGGGCATTATAAGAAAAGAAAGTTATAGGCCAATCTCTCTCATGATCATAGATGCAAAAATCTTTTTTAAAAAATAAGCAACTCAAATCCAACTATATATAAAAAGAGTGCTGCATCATGACCAACTGGGGTTTATTCCAGGAGTTGGTTTAATACTGGAAAATCAATAAAGGAAAAAATCATATGACCATCCTCATAAATGGAAGGGGCATTTGATAAACTTCAACATCCACTAGTGACTAAACCTCTTAATAAACCAAGAATAGAAGGGAACTTCCTTAATCTGATGAAAGCTACATACAAGGTGTCTATACACAATAGTCAAATACTGGACACTTTATCACTAAGGTTAAGAACAAGAAAAGGGAGTCCACTACCATTTCTATTCAGCATTGCACTAAAGGGTCAGCAGTGAAACTAAGCTTTCAGTAGAGCTTAAGGTAAATGATAAAACAAAAATTTAAAACTCACTTATATAATTCTTGCTTTCATTTCACACCACAAAAAAATTTAAATTTCAAAAACAATTTATCAAAAGGAGGAAAGTCTGAAAACTGTCATAAGCCAAGAGCAGCATTAGGGAGACCTGACAACTAAATGTGGTACCGAAGGATGAGATCCTGGAACCTAAAAATAAAAAACACATGAGAAAAGCTCTGCATTCTTAATAAAATATCACCTTAGTTAACAATGGTAGGTCAATACTGGTTCACTGTGACAAGTGTGCCACACTAATGTAAGATGTTAATAAGGGAAACTGGGGGTGGAATATATGGAACTCTCAGCAATATCTTCAAAATTTTTCTGAAAACATAAAACTTCTTCTGTAAAGGAAAAAAATATGTTGAAGATAAAAAGACTTAAGTTCACAACCTCAGTGTCCATCAGCAGATGAATGGATAAAGAAGATGTGGTACATACACACAATGGAATATTATTCAGCCATAAGAAGAAAACAAATCCT